GGAATACTGAAATATGTTAACTTCTTTAGGAATCTGGAAATTCTTCAGGACCTACCCCTGGTGCTAAGTTTTCCCACATTTTACAAAAGGATGCCTTCCTTGTATTCAGGTCACTGTGTAAACTCTCCATGAAACCCCTGTCAGATGGACCACCAGATCCAAAGTAAGTAGAATTTAAGAATTTTCATACTATTTGAAAATTTAAAAAAATTTTTTACAATATTTTTGTGTCTCCTCAGTTATTGAGAAAATAATGGTATGGTAAAAAGATCCTAGAAACTTTGGAAAGGTTCTTCTGTGTTTTAATGCATCTTTTGTATACCAGTTTAGAAGTGTCTTAACAACACTTTTGCTTCCTGTGAGTACATAGTGTTCCTCCTAGTTGCTCTTTGTAATACTTTACAGAAGGGTTTGTAAAGAAGGTTTTCAGGTGTTTCTAGTGTTGGCTCATGCTGTTCTGCATTGAAGTGATTTCTGGTTTTGTAACCATTGTTGTCTGTTCCCCTCAGTTTCTTTCATCTCCTGCATATCACGTATCCTGTACACATACCCAACTCTATCTTAATATAAGCTCCTCACTTGGAGCTGATGCTGGTTCTGATAAATTTGTGATACAGTGCTCATTCTTTTGCTCAGTTTGGACACTTTTGTCAGCCTACTTAATCAAAACGCATGTGTTTTGAGAGCAAAATCTTTTTTTGGCTGGTTTGGGAAATCTTGTCTTCTGACTGAAGATACCATGTTTTCAGTTTGGCTTAGAGCATTGTTTGTTGTAAAGCAGAAAATAAATTCTTCTCTATAGATGGATGCCAGTATTGGCAAAAAAGTTTGCTTTCTGATCTTGGATAAATTTATATACTTTTTTCTTTTGCACATTAGGAATATTTGGTAATCATTTTAAAGAAGAGTGATTTTTTTTGTTCCTAAGATATTAAATAAGTATCATTTCAGCTGGCAAAGGCCCAGCATTGTTCAAAATAACTGTTCCAAGGTCTAGCTTTTATACCAGGTAACTTCAAAAGAGTTTAGTTTAGTCAGTGATGTGTGTTGTGTATTTAATAAACTGAAAAATATGCGATGTAGTAGAAAGGGGTTGAAGGTTTAGTTTTTAACCATTTTTAAATTGTTATCCAGCAATGCACTGTGGAAAGTCAGGACATTAGGGAATGAAGACTGGGGCACGAGGTTTTCCTTACTGTTTTTGAGAATTTATCTTCCAGGAAATACCATGAAAATCCCGTGGGTTTAGTTAGTTCTCTGACACTAAAACTGACCATTTATTAAAGGCTTTAGTGGATTAGCTCCATCTGGAAGAGCAGCAATAGCTATTGAGACACTTGAAGCATCTTATCTGAATCCATGGAGTTCTTGACATTTGTATTAGAACTGATGAAGCTCTTCATATAAAACAGACTGGAGGAGGGAGCATTTGGGGCAACAAAAATTCACTGCAAATACATTGGAAGATATCCTGTATTTGGAGACATGCCTAGAATTTATCAGTGATTCTGAGGCATTGATGGCTTTTTGAACTATTACAAACATGCTGTAATTGGAAGAGGAGGCGTAGGATATCTGCAGCATTTTCAAGAGTCTTATCTGCTTCTTTAAAAATGGTATTTCCAGTGAAATTTTTTATGAAGTCTGTAATGAAAATGTTTTTACATTTTAGGTAACTGGACATGGGGCTTCAGTTTAAAATCACAAGGCTGGGAGTTAAGATCAGCATTATAGTGCCTGGGAACCTGGATAATGTCTGTTTCCTTTTTTTCCTGGAATAAAATAAGATGGGAGTGAAATGCCTTGAAGGTCCATGTGCTATTTTTTTCCTTAAACTTGCTTTAAATTAAGTGGGCTTTAGACATCATACAGAATTGGTAAAGTCAGCATGTTAGGATTTCAGTTAGGAGCTGACACTTGCTGGAAGTAGGCAATATTTAATATTTTATTAGACTGAAATTCTCTTCATATTTAAATTCTTACAGTTCATAGCAAAGTATGGTCTAGTCATGTGCTGTCTGCAGATTTGATACCATGTGAGGCAAAATTAAGCCTTTTGCATCAGCAGAGATTATGTCAGGTTCCATGCAGATGTGCAGTGCCCAGAGCCAAGGATTTTCCTGAACTCCTACAGAGAGCTGGTTTGGATCGTTAACTTTGACCTGCAGCCCATCAGGAGGAATGGGAGGGACAAGTTTTTCACTCTGTTTGATTGACTATGTTTTCTTGAAAGTGTCTTCAGAAAAAAGTCTGCTGTTGGAATTATATTTTATGAGTTTGAAATGTTTGCAGATTGATTCTCTCCATCCACTTTGACAGAAATAACCGAGTTTATTTGCAACATACTTGTTACTAATTTACATTTTTTTGTTTTAGCTAGACTGTAATTACTTGTTTCTTTATTTTTTTCTCATTAAGCTTGTATTTTTGCCGTATACAGCAAATACCTAGCTATTGTGTGTCACATGTTGACTTGAAGCATTCCTTACTATGTCTGGGCTGTAATGGATAAAAATTTCCTGTCGTTGTTCCTTACGTTTCATAGCTGTCCTCTGCCAGTGGGCAGTTGTTTAATGAAAGCTGTGGGTGGTCCTGTTGGGAAAGCCCACTGTGTCTGTACCTGCCCTTCAGAAAAGCTATAGAGTTTTGAGATGATCCGAAGTGAGAAGGAGCATCATGAAACTGAGTGTTTTCACTCAGAATGCTTTTTATTGCATTCTATTTTCATAGATGCAAATCTTCTTTGTGCTTTTTGTGTGTGGGGGGGGGTTGGCTGGTTTGTTGTTTGTTGGTTTGGCTTTTGTTACATTTTTAAAGCATAAATAGTAGCCCTGTTCTGACATGAATTCTAGCTTACTTCAGTCTGTAAGAATGTTACCCTGGAGCACTTGACAACACTGCAGTTGCCTGACTTTGTGATTGCTGTGCTTAAAATAGGCATGTTATGTATCTTACCTGCCCTTGGAGTGGGATGGGGCCAGTGACTGATAAATACTGTATGTGAGAAAAGAGATTTCAGTGTTGGGAGGAAGTAGGTCAGGCAGTACAACTATTGTCTTTATAGTCCTTCAGCTCTCTTTCTATGCTGGTAGAAATGGAGGAAGAGGAGAAATTTCCACCTTTCAGTGGTAGAGTTCTGTAGGTGGGCTCTTCCAAAAATCCATTAAAAGGAAAGAGTTTTCCCTTCATTCTCTGGCTAAAAGTGCAGCATTGCCTCCTGTTGCTGCTGTTGAGTTGTGCTGTGCTGCAGAAGAGACAGTGGCTCAATAGTAAGGAAAGAAACTGTAGCTGGAAAAATTTTACTCTTGCCCACCTTCTTGGTTGCAGAATGACCACTTTAACAAAAAGTATGAACGTCTTTTTGTGACCTTTTCTACAACAGGTTGTATCAAATTGGAGTTTATCTCATTAACATTCCACTTGTAAAATCATTGTATTGGTTTTTCAAGAGAATATTTTATTTTTTATGACTCGCTGAGCTGACATACTGTCTTGTTTTGTTCTAGATCTCATGAACTGCGATCCAAGATTCTTTCATTGCAGTTGCTTCTGTCCATTCTGCAGAATGCAGGACCTGTCTTCAGGACAAATGAGATGTTTATTAATGCTATTAAGCAGTACCTTTGTGTTGCACTGTCAAAAAATGGAGTCTCATCAGTTCCAGAAGTTTTTGAACTTTCACTTTCCATATTTCTTACCCTCCTCTCAAACTTTAAGACTCATCTGAAGATGCAGATCGAGGTATGTTACATGAATTTCTAACTGCAGGAATGGGGGGTGTTAACTGAACATTTTTTTGTATTTAATTTGTGTGTAGCTTGGTCTTGCTTGCATAAATTTGTTTTCCTTTCTGACTCACAGCTTTTGTGTAAGACTTGCCAGATCTTCCTATGCGTAGAAAGCTCTTTCACTCAGAGGGAATGGACTTGGTTGCCACAATACCCTTAAACCTTATTCAGATAAAATAGCATTTCCTTTGGAATACAATTTAAATAAGATTTTCTCTGTAACATCAGAAGTAATGTGACAACCCGTGGTAGTCTTGTTCGGTGAAGTGGAAAACTTTGTAGGGCTGTTTAAAAAAATTTCCATCATACTAAACCTAGAACATGAAATAAAATATGTAATAGAGAAGTAGGCCACTTCATCACTTAATAATGGACAATAATATAAACTAAAAAATTATACAGTGCAGTATATGCTTTGATTTACTCAGTGATTGAAGTGAATTTGTACCATCATAGTGTATTGTGCCCATACTGACTACTGTTACTATATGAGTTAGTCTTCTCTGTTGGCTGTGGCATGGTATTATCAGAGAATGATGCTGAAACTCAGAACTGAGTAGGTTTGTGGATAAGCTCAACCAACCAATGTTCAGTAATGTGGTTAGGAAGGTTTAGCCTTGCACTATGTAGTACAAATTAAGAAACTGAGTACACTTGTGAAAAGACTCTGTAATACCTGGTTTTGCAAAGGAGTTTTAGGATAAAAATTAATTACTTGAAATGCATTGTGGATTCTCTTTGAAATCTCTTGAAGAGATTTCT